TTACTATAAATGTCACCTAAAACGAAGTAAATATTAAGTATTCTGAAGTCTGTACATGTGAAATACACTCACTATAAAATATAACGAAACTAAAAGATTGGCTGATGAGGGAAATAAACAGGTAGTAAGACAAAGTCAGCTGACTATTCACAGAATATTATGGAATTACAGAATCTAGATGGTGGGTATTTAGGTATTCAACATTCAAATATTTTTCTATAATGATTAACAATTTTCCCCATAACATGTCAAAAGACTAAAAATGAAGGCTATGAGGGGCTCATGCACTTCTCAAGGCCACAAACTAAGAGAACTCACTTTAATAAAAAGGTACGCACGCACGCACGCACGCACGCACGCACGCACGTCTAGAAGTGAAGACAGTCAGGCGTGGTGAAGCATGCCTAGTCTCAGAACTTGGAAGGCTACCACAGGGAAATTGTGAGTTTAAGGCCAGCCTGAACTATGTGGTAATATTCTGTCTCAAAAAACCAAAAATTGAAGGGAAGGAAGGAAAGGGGGAACAGAGAACAGATGTAATTTTGATTGCCTACACAGACTAGCTCTGGCCTTAGGCACTTATCCTTGCCATTCATTCTAGGACAATACCAATCAGTGACGTAATGACATAAGTCCTTTGTCTGAGGCTATGATAGCGTCCTCCCTATTCTTTCTACCTGCGTTTCTAACGCCTCCTTAAACTAACAGTCTGGAAAGACCTGACCAGCCAAGTGTACCAGCAGTCATCGGTCTGACTCTAATCCCTCAGACCCCGTGCTCTCTCTGCTAAGTCAATGTCAATCAAAGGTAAAGGATGGGGACACAGGTCCTCAGAGGAGTAAAGTGCTTGCTACTCAAGTATGAGGCCCTGAGTTCAGATCCCCAGCACCCATTCAAAGCTGAGCACAGTGGCACATGTCTGTATCCCCAGTACCTGGGAGAGGGACAAACAGTTGGATCCCATGGACTCACTAGCCAGGCAGGTCTAGATAAAGCAGTGACCCTCAGTTTCAGTGAAACTGTCTCAAAGATTAGGGTGGAGAAGCGACTGAGGGAGATGTCTGGTCTCCACACATCTTCCCACGCAGGAAGGTGCATTAGTGCGCAAGTGCGCACCCACACCCACACACCAAAAGAAAAAAAAGAGAAGAAAATGCAAAGAAGAATGTGCAGTAGGCATTGACTGCATCATGTACCGCAGTCTCTGGCACAAAGATGCTCAAAAAGTGTGTGCTGGCTGACAGTGCTGTGCAGGCACACTAGCACAGGCTTGGATTCACACTTAAGACTTACACTGTGAAGCTAAGTATTTCCAACGGGATGCTCTAGCAGAGTCCTGTGGAGCAGTAACTAGAAGATGGAGTTGAAAATGAAAGGTTAAATAATTTAAATGAACACTGAGAATCACATACATTTTAATTATTAATTCCATCCTGGATGATACAGTAGGCTCATCTGCTTCAAAATCTCATAAACGTAAGTGGGGGCGACAAAGTAGACAAGGACGGACAGAAATCCATTCCTAAATGCCCCACCGTGCATCAGAGCTGATCTGCTCTTTTCTGTTGCTGCTTCCAGAGGACAGCATGCAGATTATGCACTTGCTGAATCCTGCGTGTCACCAATGACCTAACAAGAGAGGCATTCATCACACCATGGTTGCTTCCACCAAGTATCTGGTTTTAAACAGCTGCAAATTTGGGAAAGTAGCTCTAAATGAAGTCTCTCAAGACTATTCTCCTACCAACAAGTATTAAGACAAGAGTGAAGTCCAGTGGCATTTCAATACTGGAGAAATTACACTCGGTGAGCATAAACAAAGTTTAGAAAATGCTTATAGGATTTTAAATTCTGCATGTTAGTAAAATAACTGGCCCAATAAGCCTATCCGAGAGAATTCTAACACTACACCTCATCACAGTGTTTTCCATACCCATTAGAAAGATACCACATCACTAACGACTGCTTCAGTCCCTTCGAGTTCTGGAAGCGAATTCAATGACAAAATTTCTTAAAATAAGCTTAACCTCCAATTTCCATAAAGCCATTTAAGAAGTAAAAGCTGCTTCCTAGAACCCAAATCTGCAAGGCGTGGGTGAGAAGCATCCAAAGTAGAAGCAGGTTATACAAATGTTCCATAGTTATGGCTTGTTATGCAACGATACACATTAAGGAGGCTTTCTCTATGCCCACCAGTGTCTCTTAGTAACATCAGAACCCACTAAGACTTTCATTCTCCACCTATTAACTCTTCTTTCTCCATGTCAAAACAAAAACTAACACCCAAGCAAGGTAGGCAGTGAGGCGGACAAGCACCGCCAAGCACAGCCATCACCCCAGGGTCTGCAATTCCCATTCAGACTGACTTCCATCCCTTCCCATTTACATCAGCACAGTCAATTTACATAGAGCAGGGGCTCTCAACCTGTGGGTCGTGACCCCTCCCACAGGGGTCGCAATCAGATATTACAATTCATAACAGCAGCAAAATTACAGTTATGAAGGAGCAAAGAAATAATTTTATGGTTGGAGGTCACGACACCATGAGGAACTGTATTAAAGGGTCGCAGCATTCGGAAGGTTGAGAGCCACTGACAGAGCCAGGAAGGAGCCTACTTAACAATGGCTCCTGTAGGTGTCCCTTTTAGTATCACAGTCAACTCCGGAACATATCCCCTGTGAGACCATTCTTTGACCTTAAATAGTAGGTAGATTAACACCCACCTGCCCCACCCCCATATCAGCAGTTTCATGTGAATAACACATGCTAGGTGCTCCAAAGGCTCAAATTTTAGTAAAAGCTTTACCTGGACATTATTAGTATACAATTTCTAATTTCCTTTTTTTAATCATTTATTTTATGTGCATTGGTGCTTTGCCTGTGTGTATGTCTGTGTGAGGGTCTTCTGGAACTGGAGTTACACGTGAGCTGCCATGTGAGTGATGGGAATTGAACCTGGGTCCTCTGGAAAAGCAGTCAGTGCTCTTAACCACTAAGGCATCTCTCCAACCCCAATTTCCAATTTCTTTAAAGGGAAAAATTCTGTTCAACAATACACCGAATGGCTACTGAATTACCAAAGGTTTGGTGAGGATAAAATAAGATTTATGAGAAGTCTTGTCTTGGGAACTTCGAGTCAAATCCAACAGTAAGGACCTGGGAATGTAGCTCAGTGCCAATATTTGTGTAGGAGACCCTGGACTTGAATCTCTGGACACACACACACCCAAATCCAATATTAACAGAGATAATTTTTGCTTTCATTTCCTGTGTTAATTGGCATTTCATCTGCATATCGATGCAAAAATCCAAAAAGACATTAAAACTCTTCAAGGAGCCAGGTGTGATGGCACACACAGGCACTCCCAGCACACCAGAGACAGGGGTATCTGATGAGGGTTCAGGGCCACCCTGGGCCGCACAGTCAAGTACTGCACCACTCAGAACCAGAGTGAGACCCAGTCAAAAAAGAAGTTATTAAATAATATGCAAATATTTGAAGAACAAATGGGAAGCAGGAAGTATTGGGGGGAGGGGACCCTACTAGTATAAGTAACTGTCCCTGAGGACGCACGGGACAGCTCCTAGGAAGGCTTCCTGCTGAAAATCCTAATCGTAATTATGCTTCAGTTTTGAGTCCGCTACCTTTTGAACCAGATTCTAGAGGGAAGAAAGGATGAAAAGACTGATTCGCTGGAATATCCCAAGCAGGTTAGTTGAGCACGCCAGGTTCTACGCAGAACTTCTATCTTTTGAAAGCCCGAGGAAAAACAACATTCACAAAATCACCTGCTAAAATTTATAATTTCACATTCAAAAGCACGACCTACCAAATTTCAGTTACCTGTCCCGAAAAGCAAGCTTCCGATGTGTTATTATATTAAGTTACAGCCCCAGTCATGGTTTAAAAAAAAAAAAAGCAAAAAGCCTTGTTGCTGAGCTATAACCACAGAAAACCTCCAATTATCCTTGATGAACGGCGGGAGGAGGGGTGGTGCAAAAAACACCTGGATATATTAAATCCTCGGGCGATTATTATTTAAAAAGAATGTTGGATTCATTCAAGCTTCTCCCTCCTTACAAGACAAAGTTCGTTTAAGATCTGCTGGCCATGGCCATTCGCTAATAAAAAGGCTAACAAGCAGATGACTGGCCAAAAAAAAAAAAAAAAGGTAAATAAAGCCAACTGAATTATCAGCACTCCAGTTGGTTCTGCCCCCCGCGCACCCCTCCCCTGCCACTGCTGTTATCAAACCATCAAACTGAGTTTAGCTTCCTGAAAGTGACTACCCCAATACCCCTTCCTCACCCTCCCCACCCCCCAAGATCCCCCATGACTTCTCTATTTCCAAACCAAAAACGTCCTCAGAGCGTCCTAACGATGCTTTCTGAAAATGAAGTTTAAGCACCTGACCATTATTACATTCAAACTGAACGAAGCCGCGATCCCACGATTTCGGTTCAAATCAGCTAGGGACTGAACTTCCTTTTTCTCCCCGCGGGTCCTCCCAGCCCTTCCGCGCGCCAAGGTCGCCACTCGGGGCCTGCTGTGACATCACGGTCTCTCTGGGTAGAGCCTTGACATCACAGGCACCCCCGGAGCCTGGGCACTGTGACCTCACCGCCGCAGGCTCACACGCCAGGGCCCCCGGGGGAGGGTGGAGGAGACGCGCCGCTCACCTGCGCTGGGACACCCCCCCCACCCCCACCCCCGCCCCCGCCCCGACCCCGCGCCCCGCACACAGCTCACCGGAGGCGGCCTAGCTCGGGTCCTCCGCCTCGGGGGCCCAGGGACCCCACCGGGCGCACGACCTCGGGGCCAGGCCGCGCGGACGGCGCCCGGGAGGACGCGGCGGCGGCGGCGGCGGCGGCGGCGGCAGCACCCCGAGCGCGGCGACCCGCGGGTCCCCGCCCCCAAGGCCCGGCCCCGCCGCGGGGAGCAGCGGGAGCCGCCACGGTGTCCGCCCGCCTCGCGCCCCTGCCTCCCCGCCCGGCCCACCTGTGCTTCTGCCCGGCCGGGGCCTGGCCCGGGGCTGCGGCAGCCCGATGCGGCGGCGGCGGCGGCGGCGGCAGGCCTGACTCGCTCCCCAAGACTGAGGCGGACCAGGAGCTCAGCGCGGTGCGGCGGAGCCCAACGCTCGCCCCGAAACCCATTTGTTTGGCTAAACCGGCGTGACATCACGCGCCGGCCCAATCGACGGTTGCCCGGGGGCGGGGCCGCGGAGCCTGCGTGCGCCGGCGCCCCCTGCCGGGGGCCGCGAGCGCTGCGGAGAGAGGTGGAAGGCGCCGGGAAGAAGCGCCTGCGAGCCCCCCCAGTGGTGGAGATGGGGTGGGGGGAGCTCCAGGGCGACCGCGGGGCAAGGACCCTAACCCTAGAGCAAGGCTAGAGTGACAAGTTGAGTAGCGCTCCCAGGTGGTCCAGAAGTCATATGCTTGTCACTGTTAGCCAACATACCTGGGTCCTAATCTCGGATCCGCCACGAGCTTACATGGTTTTTATTTCCGAGTTCAAGTGTGTAAAACCAACCACTTAGCAAGCCCAAAGCCCTAGGTTTGTTTGATCCCTAGCATCGTATACACTGGGCACGCTGCTTCACATCTGTAATCCCAGAATTTGGGAAGTGGCTGCAGATGGACCAGAAGTTCAAGGTCATCCTCAATAACTACACAAATTTGAGATCAGCCTGGACTGCTCTTCCAGAGGAACTCAGTTCAATTCCCAGTACCACGAGGTGGTTCACAACTGTCTGTAACTCCAGTCCCAAGGAATTAGACTCTCTTTTCTGGCCTCCACAGACAATGCGTGCACGTGGTGCACAGACATATGCAGGCAAAACATCATGCAGATAAAATTTTAATTTACAAAAAATTATATTTTATATGAAATTATGACAGAAGTACCTACCAGAAAGTACATAACTTTGAGGTTGAACTGCTAGTCTACAGGAACCTACAGGCTTGTCAATGAATTTAAAAAAAAATAGGCTTGTAATATTTATATTCAAGTCAGAGAATCAATAAAACACCTTTTAATAATCTTTAAAATTATTGTTTCCATTGAATAATTTTTTTTTTTTGGTTTTTCGAGACAGGGTTTCTCTGTGTAGCTTTGCGCCTTTCCTGGAACTCACTTGGTAGCCCAGGCTGGCCTCGAACTCACAGAGATCCGCCTGGCTCTGCCTCCCGAGTGCTGGGATTAAAGGCGTGCGCCACCACCGCCTGGCCCATTGAATAATTTTAACCACATTGGACAGTGTGCTGGCTAATTTTATGTCACCTTTACACAAGCTAAAGTCATCTGAGAGGAGGGAGCCTCGAATAAGAAAATGCCTCCTATAAGATCAGGCTATAGGCAAGCCTGTAAGGCGTTTTCTTAATTAGTAATTAATGTGGGAGTCCCAACCTATTGTGGGTAGTGACATCCCTGGGCTGGTGGTCCTAGGTTGTGTAAGAAAGCAGGCTGAGCAAGCCACGGGGAGCAAGCCAGCAAGCAGCACCCCTCCATGGCCTCTGCATCAGCTCCAAGTAACCGGAGGAAGGGGTCAATTTCCTGGATCTGAAGTTACAGGTGGTTGTGAGCCTTCTGGAGGTTAGCCCAGGGACTGGGCACAAGTTAGTGTCTGAAAGGGCCTGGGTTCAAATCCTAGCACCAAAATCAGAAAACTCTGGTTTTATCCAGCCGTTTAAGAAAGTAGAGGCTGGAGAGATGGTTCTGCAGTTAAGATCACCTACCTATTTTGCATGGGACTTGAATTTGACTCTGATCACCCACATTAGGTGGTTCACAACCACCTGGAACTCCAGTCCCCGGAGAGTTGACGCCTTCTTCTGGCCTCTGCAGGTATCTGCATGCACGTAGTGCACATAAACTCATGTCGCACACACATTTTTTAAAAAGTTAGTTCTAGCCAATTCTCTTAATGTAACACTACTCTTAGGAATGCTTGTTGGGAGTCTCAGGCGGGAGGTATCACAGTATTCAAGACCAACTTGTACAGTGTACCACAGTAAAACCCTGACTCGAGGGTCTTGAGAGATGGAACAGCAGTTAGGAGCACTGGCTGCTCTTTCCAGGGACCCAGGTGTGATTCTCAGCACCCATATGGTGGCTCACAACCACCTGTAACTTCAGTCCCAGGGGATCTGACACCCTCTTGGGCACCAGACACACACCGGGTGCACATACATGCAGACAAAACACCCATACACATAAAACAATTTTTAAAACACCTTACTCAAACTGGAGAAAAAAAAATCTCTTCTAAAACATGTATGTATGACAGGCATGTGAAGTCTTAAGTGTCAAAATGTCAAAATAGGGCCAGTGAGATGGCTCAGCAGATAAAGGTACCTAACCTCAAGCCTGACACCCTGAGTTCAATCCTCAGGACCCACCTGATGAGAGGAGGGAACTGACCCCCAAAAGTTGTCCTCTGACCTCGACATGTGTACCATGGATGTCCCCACACACACACACCACACACACACACACACACACACACACACACACACACACACACATACATACGCCGTAATTTTTAAATGTAAAAATAAGCCAAGCATGTGGCACACATCTATAATCCCCAAATTTGGGGGCTGAGACAGGAGGTGGTTAGCAGTTTGAGGCCATTCTGGGCTCTATAGTGTGTACCAGGCCTACAGGGCTATATCAGTACCAGGCATACTGGCTATACCAGTCACTTTTTCTTTGCTGTGATCAAAATACTTGACAAAAACAACTTAAGAAATGAAGGACTTATTTTGTGGGGCTAGAGAGATTTCTCAGTGGTTAAGAGCTCTTGCTGCTCTTACAGAGGACCTAGGTTTGATTCCTAGCACCCGAATGGCAGCTCACAACCTGCTGTAACTACAGGTTCAGAGGCTCTAATGCATTCTTCTGACCTCCCAGGGCACCAGGCACACATGATGCTCAGACACAGATGCAGGCAAAACTCATAAATATGAAGTAAAATTAATAAACCTAAAGTTTTTTTTTTTAGTTACATAGAGAAAGGGTTTCTGCTGCTCACAATTTGAAGCAGAGAAGGTACGGTGGCATTAATGAGGTAGCTGGTCACATGGCGTCCACAGTCAGGAAGTAGACAGAGGTGAGTGATGGTACTCCGCATCTTGTTTATAGTCAGTCCAGAGCCCCAGCCCATCCAGCGGTGCTGCCCACATTTAGGATGAGTCTTTCTCACCTTGTTGAGGCAATATCTTTGGTCGTTTCAGTTGCTGAGCAGCGCAAGGTTTTGCATGGATGTGTGTGTAGGTTCCAGGGGTGGAACTCAGGCCGCAAGGCTTTCGCAGCAAGATCTTCTATCCACTTAGCCATCTCCCTGGATGCAGTGTTAAATGTTTAAAGCAAAAACAAAGCCCTGTTTTTTTCCCCCCCGACAGATACTGCACTGGAGCGCAGGAAATCAGGAAGAACTTGGGATAATGATAGGCTATCAATGCGCAAACCATTGTCACCTCAGTAAAATGCTATCTGTGTTATGCTTTGCAGGGTTGGTTCTTTAACTCATGAAACTCCCGGTAACAGCAGAGTAAGTAAGGTGGTAAGTGGTGGCCCATGCCCATAAAATATTTGCACTTGTGCAGCTGAGGGATTGCCATGAGTTCCAGGTCAACCTGGACTATATAGTGAAACCTTCTCCCCCAAACCACAAACCACATCAAGCAACTAAACTACATGTACATGTCCGTAACATAATATCCAGGTACACGTGCAGTGAACGTTGGCTGTTAACAAACTGCAATGCTAGACATGCATGCCTGCTCTAGCACCAAGAAGGAAAAGGCTCCGGACTGCTGCAAGTTGCAGGCCAGTCTTGTCTACACAGCAAGATTCTGTCTGAAACATACAATGGGGCTTTGAGAAACTGAGCTCAATCCCCAGAAATCATAGCAAAAGAATAGTAAAGTGTGGTAGCCTGGGCTATAATCCCAGCACTGAGGAGACCGAGACAACCAGATCCCCAGGGTGTGCTGGCCAGCCAGTCTAGCATACTCGGCAAGTTCCAAAAAAAAAAAAAAAAAAAAAAAAAAGACAGTGAACAGTGTCTGAGAAACAAAACCTGTCTGTCTGACCTCCACATGCCTGTGTGTCCACATAAACATACACACATATGAGTACACAGAACATGCATAAAATTATTCGGCCTAGTTGCCAGCCAATAAAGTTTTAAACACTTAATTGTCACAGACCAGCCATTGGACCTCCCTGAGCAGAACTGGTCTAAAGTGTAAAGCTGTGAAGCCACATTAGGAAGATGTTCCCTTGACTTTCTCATTTGCATAATAGCAAGAAAAAGGGCCAGAGAGCCAAAGCAATACAAAACACCACAAGCCCTGTAATGGACACTCAGTACACGGTGCTCCCGGTGTGCACGGCGGTGGTGGTGGTGGGGTCGGGGGCATCAGTTACGATGATACAGAGAAACCTATAGGAAGCTGGAAGAGGCCAAGATGGCCCAGCAGCAGAAAAGGTCTAAATATATCATACACAATTTTGGTTACCATATCAATGACTAGAAATGACTTTTCTCAAGACAGCAAACGCTGCCTTAAACTAATACCAGTACAGTGGCTTTTGTCTTGCATAAGCTTCTGTTTCATTGCTGTTCTGTGCTGGAGGTGGGGGTGGAACACAACATCAACTAAGAAAAAAGCTAAGACCCTACCACTTCCTGTTTAATAACCATATTCCTGTCTCCAAAGGAGGCAAAACACCACCCCACCCCCAACCCATTCCATCTTTAGCTTCTTCCTCAAACCCTTAATGCTTACAGCACTCACTTCCCCTATCTCAGGGGAAGGAAACCAAGAAACAGAAGGCAGACTCCATTAGGCTTTGCATCAAGGCCCATCTTTGCTGCAAGAACACAGGCCACTCCTGTCTACTTGGATTGTGCTGTTGTGAAGATCCAGTAAGAAGGGCAAAAGAGGCCAGGTGGTGGTGGCACACGCCTGTAATCCCAGCACTCGGGAGGCACAGGCAGGTGGACCTCTGTGAGTTCGAGGCCAGCCTGATCTACAGAGCTAGTCCAGGACAGGCTCCAAAGCTACAGAGAAACCCTGTCTCGGAAAAAAAAAAAAAAAAAGGGCAAAAGTGCTTTTTCTAAAGTCTAAA